CTTTCCTGATTTTGGTTATCTCTGCATAAAGGGGGCTTAATTTACAGAGAAATTTTTTGTTGTAGTCTTTGACACTTTATTAAGCAATTTATTACATAGCTATACTTAACACATGGTGTGTTTTGCACACATGTAAACTTTAATCAGGTATATCCCAGGGTGCTTAGTGTCTGCCACAAATGTTTTCTATGCGAGTTCATCTTGCAGCGTTAGGAATATTCAGTACTGTGATATTGCCTTGTGCCTTCAGTACTGGTAATGCTTAGGGTCCATTTCCCTTTTTGTAGCAATAATTTGGACAGTCATCCATTCCCTTCAGGTCCCAATCGTCTGAACAGTTGCTGGCTCTTCCTGCCTGTGCCCAAATGTCTTAATATGAGTAGCTGGGTTTACCTTAATAATTTTGGCAAAACAGTAGTTTGAGCATAAAAATGGCAAGACTACCAGGTGATTTAAGGGTTTATTTTTTGGGGTAGCTGGGGTAAATTTTGTACCTGCAAGTGTTCATTCATTTGGGGTGAGTAAGCATGCATGCATCTCAGTGTGTTGTCAGAAGCTTTATTCACAGTTGTGGTGGAGTGTTGGGATTGAGCATCCAAAAGAAATGTAATTGGTACTTACATTGGGGAAACAAATACAATTTTAGGGGTTTCTTTTGTTGGGCATCTGGGAAATAACAAGGAAAGTAAAATCAATACAGGTAGTAATAAAACTTGAATTACTGCAGTTCAGTGTACACGGCATGTTAGTACTAAGACGTAATCTTGCCAGAAGACACAGGTGAATAGATTAATTTAAAATGAGCAGAAACTGCTTCTGCTCTGTTGAATGTAGGGGTTTTTTTGAACATTAATACATGCAATTGTAATATCTCATTTTTGTCAGTGTGTTATTTTATGGTTTTTGGAAAGTCTCCTGGTTAACATGCTGGGTATATCCCCAAACATTCAAAGAATTATTAAACATGCAGCAAATTGTCACACTTTAAAAGTGGGGGTGAGGGGGCCATCTTTTTTTTTTACAGGGACAGAGGGAAAGAAAAAAATATATAAGATCTGAATTTATAAGTCTACATGAGTTTATCCATTTGGGGGGGATTATGTGGCACAAGAGATTCTGAGTACCAGGGTAACCGTTATTTCAAAGGTGGGTTATGGGTCACCCAACCTGCAAAGCTGATGAGGAGAACGGGCACCAGCCTTTGCAAGAGGTTCAGCCATAAACAACTGGGAGCAATAATTTTCTAAACTGTTGCCACCTAATAAACAGATCTGTCTGCACTCTGAAGCAGCTCCCATAAGACCTCTGTAGCTGATTTTTAGTATTCTCTTTTCAAATAAATGTTTATACATATCTGCTCAGTGGGTTACATTACTGATTATAATATGACTTGTTGAGAAGGATTTATTCTTCTAAAGAAATAGAACTGAATAATCTCTCCCATTTTACCTAATCTGTATCCTTACAAAGTGTATTTATCCCTTCTTCCTCACTACATCTCCTCCAGGAATTAAAAATCCCCCCAATTTTTTGTTTCTCTGTTTAAATGTATAAAAATATGTGCCTGCTACTGTAAGTAGGCTCACAGGTGAAGATTTTCACATATTGGACATGGTTCTGGGTAGCTGGCTCTGGGTGGCCCTGCTTGAGCAGGAGGGTTGGATCAGATGACCTCCAGAGGTCCCTGCCAACCTCAACTGTTCTGAGATTGTTATTAATGTATGGATAAATAGTACTAAAATTTGTAACAGCTGATGTGATGAATGTCTAATCTGGTTTGAAAGCTTCAACTCTAGCTTTTCTTCATAGGGTAACATTGTAGATAAAGGTGATTTAGCTTTAGATATTTCTTTCAGAAACTTAATTCACTGGCATTTTGCTGATAAAGTCAGAATTTAGTATCTGAGACAAATACACAAATAGTATATTCATAATAATATTGAAGAAGCCTCTAGATGGCTGAATATTTTATGTATTTTGAAAACATCTCTGGAGTAGTGACTGAAATGTGAGAATTACAAAGTAGACCTGGAATAAAGGGTTGCAGATGTATATTATTTCATTTTACAGATTTTCTGCAGAGGATGGCCAGTACTAGAGCTGCTTATTCAGAGTTTTACCCTAATATTTCCATGCGCAGTACTAAGCTTATTTTAGGATTTAGGACATGGATACCAGTCAGTTTATGGTCATTACTGCGGTATCAGAATGGTTCTCAAAGCGTTCATCGTGTCTGTCCTCTTGAAACAAAGAGTATTTTTATTCAGTTTTTTCCTGTCTGTGAAACAAGTATTTTTATTGCCATTTTACAAGTGGGAAATGAAGGCAATGAATGATTTAATATTGGGACTATTTGCAAATTTGGGGACACATGTAGATTCTGATTTCTCCTTTTTTTCCCCCACGTGTTTTTTTCTGCTATATCTGGCTTTATATACAACTTCACTTTAAAAGTATTGACTTCAGCTGCAGCTGTAATGCTCAGTACTTCTCAAAGTCCAAAGATCTCAACAGAAGCATCAGAAAATTAGAAATATGTAAATAATGGCCAAATATAAAAAAACATTGAAGGAACTTGCTGAGGAACTTGTCCATTCCTTTTTAGCGATCTTGTGATGTCAGATGTTTAATCACTCTTTCCAGTTAGTTCTGCAAGCAGTGATAGTGGATGGAGTCTCTGGAAGGAAAATAATAGCATTAAATAGTCAAACAAAATAGTAATTAAATAGAAACTGTTTGCAGCTTTCTGTGAGGAAAGAAGTCACTCCATATCGCTGGTGAATGTCAGAGGAACTTTGTGATTATTTTAATTTTTTTCCTTTTTTTTTTTCATTTCCACAAGACATAGCTATTCCTAAGTGGAAGACAGTGAACCCTTACATCTAGTGGTGCATATTTTTCTTCTTCGCATAATTTGTGTAAAGTTAGTTGTATTTTTTTCTTTTTAGTTCTCTTTTGTCTACTTGAAATCTCAGTTTTACTGAGAACAAATAAATGTACATATTTTTAATGGTCTTGTCTTATTTTTTCCTGAAGTTTCTCATATTAGTGCTCTTTGAAATAAATCTCCTGTCTGATGTTGAAAGAGTTGAAGTAGTGAATTTCAGTTTCATTACTTGTCACAGGACAAAAAATGCACTTCTTATGAACTGTTCACTTACTGGCATTTCATTGCTTTTCTTCCTGATAAAGCAATGAAGGGAGTGTAGTATCAGAGCATTTACTGCTGTAATGTCAAAGCATGGCCTAAATAAAGTTTACATAGAATAGCTTTCCAGACATACAGAATGGTAAGTCAGATATTCTGATTAGTATAAAAACACTTGATGTCTTTTATCAAAAAGGACTGGATGAGTTACATCCAGGGGTGCTGAGGTAGTTGGCAGATGTGCTCGCCAAGCCACTGTCCATGATTTACCTTAAATCATGGCTAACTGGGGAGGTCCCATTGTACTGGAGGGTGGCAAATATGACACCCAGCTACAAGAAGGGCAGAAAGGATGATCCAGGAAACTATAGACCTGTCAGTCTGACCTCGGTGCCAGGGAAGGTCATGGACCAGGTCATCTCAGGTGCCATTAGAAGTCACATAATGGACAACCAGGGGATCAGGGCTAGTCAGCAAGGGTTTATGAAAGGCAGGTCCTGCCTGACAAACCTGATCTCCTCCCATGACAAGGTGACCTGCTTATTGGATGAGGGAAAGGCTGTGGATGTTGTTTACCGTGACTTAAGTAAGACCTTTGACACTGTTTCCCACAGTATCCTCCTGGTAAAACTGGCTGCTCGAGGCTTGGATGGTCACACGCTTCACTGGGTAAAACATTGTCTGGATGGCCGGGCCCAGAGAGTTGTGGTGAATGGAGTTAAATCCAGTTGGTGGCTGGTCACGAGTGGTGTCCCCCAGGGCTGGGTTTTGGGGCCACTCCTGTTTAACATCTTTATTGATGATCTGGATGAGGGGATCGAGTGCACCCTCAGTCAGTTTGCAGATGACACCCAGTTGGGTGGGAGTGTTGATCTGCTCGAGGGTAGGGAGGCTCTGCAGAGAGACCTGGACAGGCTGGAGCCATGGGCTGAGGCCAACTGGAGGAGTTTCCATAAGGCCAAATGCCGGGGGCTGCCCTTGGGCCACAACAACCCCCAGCAGCGCTGCAGGCTTGGGGAGGAGTGGCTGGAGAGCTGCCAGTCAGAGAGGGACCTGGGGGTGCTGATTGACAGCCGGCTGAACAGGAGCCAGCAGTGTGCCCAGGTGGCCAAGAGGCCAATGGCATCCTGGCTTGTGTCAGCAATAGCGTGGCCAGCAGGGACAGGGAAGGGATCTGACCCCTGTACTCGGCACTGGTGAGGCCGCCCCTCGATTCCTGTGTTCAGTTTTGGGCCCCTCACTACAAAAAGGACATTGAATGACTCGAGCGTGTCCAGAGAAGGGCAACGGAGCTGGTGCAGGGTCTGGAGCACAGGTCATACGGGGAGCGGCTGAGGGAACTGGGGGTGTTTAGTCTGGAGAAGAGGAGGCTGAGGGGAGACCTCATCGCCCTCTACAGCTCCCTGAAAGGAGGTTGCAGAGAGCTGGGGATGAGTCTCTTTAACCAAGTAACAAGCGATAGGACAAAAGGGAATGGCCTCAAGTTGCACCAGGGAAGGTTTCGACTGGATATTAGGAAGCATTTCTTTCCAGAACGGGTTGTTAGGCGTTGGAATGGGCTGCCCAGGGAGGTGGTGGAGTCCCCATCCCTGGAGGTGTTTAAGGGTAGAGTTGACATAGCGCTGAGGGATCTGGTGTAGTTGGGAACTGTCAGTGTTAGTTTAATGGTTGGACTGGATGATCTACAAGGTCTTTTCCAACCTAGATGATTCTGTGATTCTGTGAAAAATAGTAAATATATCCTTTTTGAGAGTCTGTTGGGGATGGTAGTGGAAGTATTCTTTTTAATAAGTCTGTAATAATGATAACAACTTACAGAGCTAAGTTGTTAACACTGTTTTTCTTTTCATAGCCCACATACTGGGTGGCAGAATTACCAGTCTGATGTACCCTGGATTCCCACTGCTTGCATCTCTGTGGAAGATGCTGAAATGATGTCACGAATGTCTTTCCGGGGCACTAAGATCGTTGTGCACCTGAAGATGGGGGCTAAGACCTATCCAGACTCTCCTTCCTTTAACACTGTGGCAGAGATAGTTGGAAGCAAGTACCCAGAGCAGGTGAGTGAGAATATACAAAACGAAACTTATTTTATTCTTGAAAAATGTAAAAAAACAAATCCAAAGAACAGCTAAGAAATCCCTCAAACGAATAACTCTAGTTCATCTTCTCTTGTACATTTCAGACATCTCAGCTTTTCAGTCTTTTTCATGTAGCAGGTTTGAATCCACCAGGCTTGGTTTTAACATACTATTTTAAATAACTGTAAGAATTACTGTGTTCTAAGAAGAGGAAATTCAACTAAACTATACACAGTTTAACCTCCTTCTTTTTGTTTCCCTGGTTTAAAGCTCACTTTATATAATACCACCTGCATTGGCTTACATAGAATTGTGTATGTAAGCAGAAGTGAAATCCTAACAATGTAACTAATACAGTTAATATTTTACAAGTGGTAAATTAAAGTTGCCATAATGATTTGTGCTTGGAGTTCTGTTAATGAACTTCAAGTGATTTCTTGATCAGGCAAATAAACCAGGTTCTGCTGTCCAGGAATAAAATTGTTTGCCTGAGTTTTTTGTCAAATGTAAAAGTGAATGCAGGATGTCAGTTTAACTTTCTTGGAGATGTTTTTTCATGTGCAAATCATTGCTGTGTTTAGCAGGAGTTGTATGTGGTTAGTTTGGAGGAATAAACCAGCTGCACAAAAAAGTATCTGCAAATTCTTATTAAACACTAGTTAATCTTAAATTGTTGGGTTTCGTTTTAAGACTTTGCTTTTTGCTTTCTCTTTTCTTCCAACTTGTTGCCAAAAATCATACAAACTAAATTATGGTGCTGAAGGATTTGTGCCTGGTATGAAATCTTCTATGTCAGCTTACAACATGGAATGATTTTTCTGGCATTATGGTTTATTGTGAAAATGCTGATGCAACCTCAATTACAGCAGCACTAGAAATTACTGCTAAAGTACATCTACTGAGCCATGATTATTTTTTAAACATTGTCATTTTAAAACTTCAGTGGAAAATAAGAATGACTATCTCTGTCCGTTAAACCAGGTATAGCTCTTACAGATTTTCTCTTTTCTGGGATGGTAGTTCTGTAGCTCTGGTTTGTGATGTCTAGAGATCCTCAGTGTTAGCATGAATGTACAGTTTCAGAATCTTGATTGCTGGACAGGGAAAAAGTAACTACCTGCCTGGTTTACATACCATCACCTGTGAGTCTAGCTTCATGAAACATGTATTTATCAAGTTAAAGACAATGCCCCAACTTCTAAGTTAGGGTACAGTTAATTTAATTTTATGTCATCTGAATTTTTTTGCCATGCTTCTAACAAGCTAATAGGCTATCTTTGCTGAATTATGTTTGTTGTATTTTAAAATTCGATGTTTCAATTCAGGTTATGAAGTGTCCAGATGTAACCTTCAAAGATGTATTAAGGTGCTTGCCTGTACTTGATTTTCTCTTTGCTGTTCTACTCTGTTTCTTTAAGCAATGAAATAGGTTGGGATCTCTTCACTTCTTCCACTGAGAAGCTCAGTTTTTTGAAACACTGGGTAAAGACTTATTTACAAGCCCCCTGCTGATGTTAATGGGAGTGGTAGTGGACACACTTTGAAAATGTAACCAAGAAACAGAAAAATAAAACAAGTGAATGTTTAGGTTTTTTAGTACTCAGTTCCTCGTAGAGCCTTAATGGATGCTTCACCACACTCATTCCACTGCGTTACTCTGGTAAAAATGGGAACCATCTAGCTATTTAGGCAATAAAGTACATTGCAGACCCAGACTCTTACAATGCCTTTTATGCCAAAGTGTTTCAAAATGCAGTACAAATCGAGTGGAATAGAAAGGTGCCATTTCTACAGGCCAGAATTTCAACTTAAGTTTTGAATTGAAACAAAAGCAAATCTGGATCTCTGAACTCTGGGTGAGAAATCAGCAGCGGGTGGTATCACTCTTACAAAGGTCTAAAGGAAAACAGTTTGAAATTAGGCTGAAGCCTGTGAAACATAACTGCTCACAGGTATTGCAGAAAATTATAATTTAAAAAACTGGAACAACTGAAAATGAGGTTGCTGTAGGATACTGAAGAAATCTGTTGAGATGTGATAGAGTTCTAGATGTAACTGCACATCAGGATCTTTGTGTTCATCTATATCTTGACCAGAGTTTAATATACTGCTTGATTTATAAATGATTCATTAATTCTTCCAGTGAGATTTTAGCATGTTTATTAAAAATAACCACCAAGAACTGAAATAATACTGGTCTGAAAATTTTATGTTACAAGCAATGTTGAATATTATTGTTAAAATCCTTTAGAAGAGCAGACAATTTACTGTTTTTTCTTACCTTTTTTTTTCTTTCTTTGACCACTCTTGTAGCATGTTCAGTTAAGATCCTCCTTTTAAAGTAATTTTTCCCAGTGTTTTGTGTGGATGTAACAATGGAGGGGAAGAAAATAAAACTAGAAAAATGTTAAGGAAAACAGAAAAAAAAGTAGTTGAAATAATACTTCTGATGTATTTTCCTAGAAGTTAGCTGTATTTTAGACTTAGTGTTCTTAAACTCTTGGGTTTTGTTTTATTTTGCTGTTGCAAGAAATGTTTGATATCATCAAAATTGATACTCGAACTATCAAGCACCTGTGCTTAACTTCGACACGTTTATGTTTCTGAATAACTTAAAGCAGTTAAATAAATGTAATTACTGCTTTGTGAAGCATCAAGCTCTCGGGTATGCATTCATCTTCAGATGCAATGTTGTGACATGGGTGCAGATGTTTCGTTGCTTTTTTGAGGCAGCTCTGCACCCAGGGTGCACCGGTACTTTTGAAAAGTTAACCCACTGATATTTCTGGTTTCTGTTCTCATTTATCCATTCTGTCTGACCAGACAGCAACAGTAAGCAAATGCTTTATCATGAATTGCTCGAACTAAGAAAAATGTACTTTGAAACCTACTATAAGTTGCAGCTTTGCACTACCAAGTTTTCAGGTGGTGCAGAGTATCTAAACAGAAAAAGGAAATGGATTTTGTCATGCTGTCAGTTAAGTTCAGTGTCTCACCAGTGTCTCTGTTCTGTTTTTCTTTGTATTATTCCTTCTAAGTTAGGGAAGGGCTGCCCTCCCCAGACAGGACCCTTGCTAATGTCAGAGAGGGCATGACTGTGCATGTTCTGAGCAGAGACATCCGCCATCCTCGCTGTCAGTCCTGAGGTCATTGTGTAGCACCTGCTGAGGTCCGAATACCCATAGGTGCCCAAAGAAGGTGAGCTTGTGCCTATAAGATGATGAGTTCAGGATGAAGCTTTTCTTCATATAATCGGATTGGAAGCAGTGGGACCAAACATGCTATGACTTGACTCCCTGGCAGCCTTTCTAAGCTTGGGATCCTATTCTGATGGTGCTTTGGACAGCAGCAAGAGTGGAAAACCTGTGGGTTGTGGGACTTAACATATTTAAGCCTGTATGATTGCTGACTGTTGAGCCAAAGAGTTGGTGAAATGGGAAAGGCATGGTAGCAGAACCTGCTGAAGTCCAGGCTATTGCAGGTTAGAGACATTTACAGTCCATTCCAGATCTCTGTTTTAGAGAAGGAGTTTTTGAAGCACACTGTTGAGTCTGGGACCATGATGTTAGTATCCTTTTGTACTGTATTGTGTACTGGTGAGATGTTTTATTTAAACTATGTAAATTGACACTGGAGACTAACTGACTGAGAAATTCACAAGTTAACTAATGTGGTTTTCATTTGAAATTCAGGCAGAGCTGGCAGTCTTCTTATTTTAATACAGATGTAATATGGTCTTAAAGTGCAGAAGCAACCTTCCCATCTCTGGGGAAGTGCTATAAATAGCAGCTGTTTCTTGTTAGTCTGGCTTCAATGTATCTAATGTGCCAAACACAGAACCACAAAATACTTGATTAACTGAAAAGGTATCAAAGTGGATAAAGATATAACTCTTCTATAATCCTGACTTTCAGCGTCTTCTCATACTGTGTATTTCTTGGTGTGCAGTGATGTTTTACTTATCTGACAGTTACTAAGTGATGGGAAAACTGTTTCCTAAGTGCCCTACAAAGTGCATAAATTTAATGGTTGCTCATTATTCTGTGATCTAGCATAAATACTGTAGAGCAGAAACAGAGGAGCTCATAAGTGGCGTTTTTGGAATCCTGAAGAGCTGTTCCACGAATTCACTCTACACAGGTTTTTTTCCTCCTGTTTTTATGAAGTGCCATATCTACAAAATGTACCATTTGAAAAATGACTGTTTTGAACACCACAGGCATAAAAGACCATTGAAGAATGTACTGTAGCTCTGAGCCAAGTTTGGACAGCACTCTGAAAGTACTAGTTCTAGGAATGACCTGAGAAACAGAGATGCTAAGGTAGCAGATTGTGAAGTTCTTTACCGATCTGTGATTGATGTAACAGAACCTGTTTTACAAAGGAAATGGCTTATTTACTTGTTCATTCTTTTTCCTTTCCCTATTTGAAAAATCAGCCCTCTCCTGGAATTTGTGATACTGGGCAAAGCTCCAGGGAACAAAAGAACATGAAAATTGTCCAGGCTTCTGAGCCTGTTAGGCATTCATTCACATAAGGGAAGAAATAATCTGTAGACCAAAAAAACCTCCAACCTCAGGAAGAAAAGAAGACTTCTCTGAAGATGTCTAATACTCAGTACAATGTTGTTTTATGGCCTGGCATCAGTTCACATATGTTAACAAAATGTCTATCCATTAGCCCTTTGATGTGGCTTGCAGATATCCCTATGCTCAAACTAAATCATGCATACAATAGAGCTTTGAGAAGAAATGTTTTAAGAGCCTGGTGCCATCACATTATGGCTCCATTATCACATTTTCTCCATGTGGATTGTCTTGCTATTCATTCCAAAAATGTTGAAGGGTTTGTAAGTACACTTCTGTGAGCCCCTCTTCTGTGACTGTAAGCTGATACTTGTCACTTCTAGAATTTAAGAGAATTTAAAAGAATTTAAGAGATGATTATGGAGATCAGGTTTTGAGATCACCAGCCCATTA